GCACAAGCCTCACGACACGGGATATACTACAATAGATCAAATTATTGGTCCCGAACAGAGGAAAAACAGAGGATGCATGAAGTGATGTTCATGTCATTCCACGGAACACAAAATGCCATTGCTAGATAGAGCTGGAATTAGGGCGTAACAACTCTGGATGATTTCTAGGAATTCAAGACACGCTCACAAGTGGAAGACTTCCCCTACCCGATAGTTATGTTGGCTTTCTAGAAATCATCGATAGAAGTCATTGTTTACAAAAGCTGTTACGCCCTAATTCCAACTCTATCTAGATTGTTCTTTATCATAGACCTGATTATTCAAATAGGTCTGGAAACAGTTACCAGGTACCAGAGTTTCAAGCACATCCTCAAGCACTCTATGCTCATGAAAGTCGATAAAATTACAATCCAGTAAGATTTTCTTGACCGGGCTGTAAATCGAAACCATCTTCATCGGTTTTCTGAAACAACTATAACTTTCGCAGATTCTCAAGTGTCAAAACTAAAAGAGAAAAAAAATGCTACGGCATGTTCTGTGTAAAATTTGTTAGTTACAATTTTTCAAATTCTCTAAAATGATGCTTTTTTTGTGCTACGTTTTCTCCAGATGACACTCTTTTCAAGTCATTCCGTGAAAAAACCGTAAATACCGTTGGATAAAAGCTATGAAAAATGGACTTTTTTTTTAAATAGTTCCTTTACTAATCCGAAATATGTTGATGGTGTTTTCGGTAACAAATTCAAAATGGAGTTATCTGCTACGAGTCACACATACAGTAATACAATATTTTGTTTTAAATTCAACATTGAAATGTGACATTTTGACAGCCACCGTAGTGATACGCCGATGCACGCCGCCGCCGCCGCCGATCAAATACAACGGCGTCACGTCGCCACGCCGCCGAGGCAAAAACGGATCCCACGCCCCCGCTCCGGTCTATCGGATCTTTTGAGGTAAATTAATGCTTCAATGGATCCGCTTCTTTTTCTTTGCATATCAATTTGAAATTTACTTGGTGGTAAATCGCCTAGAGACTCGCATCGTCTACGCTTAGTTAATACATTTTCTGTCATTATCTCTGGTACTTTAAGATTTTTGTCGATTTTTTATGCTTCCGTTTTCAATAAATTATAAACCACATTAAGATATTCATATGTTATCGGTTAGTTATCGATTCATGCTCGGGTACCAATACGACCTTAAATTATTGCTGGAATCCATCTCACTATTTCCTTCATTTTTTTTTAAATCTTTATTAAGTAGATTTTTAGTCACTTCAAATGCTTTCATTATCTTTTCCTCTTTTTTAAAGTCATTCTTTGGATAACATATTTTCATTTAAATGAGCATTACTTCTAACATCATATGAATATTCTTCATTTTTGGATTCATCAAATGTAATAATTTTCTTCACTTCTTCTTCATTTTTGACGTAGGACTACGTCTGTGATTTCTATATGGGGGTACACTTTGTGAAAACCTCAAATGGAACATGTAACAAAATTCTGAAAGATTGGAACTTTAATAGCTCAGCTGCCCCTGGACCAATTTCAATAATTTTATAACCAATCGATCAGGTATATTTCTACGCACCTGATAAATTTAAGACTTTATCATTTTGCAAAAAGTCAATATTGAAAATTGCACGAATGTAAAACTGTTTCTTTGTTAATTAAAATTATCACTGATTGCCTGCGAAAAGCGATTTCCCTAACACAGATTTCAAAGTTGAATTCCATCCAGTCTCACCAAACGGTGTTTATTCAATCACCGCGTGGTGAGTGGTGGTGTTATCCAGTACACAACGAAAGGCTCCCCGCAAGCAGCCAGCTACCAAGTCTGGCCTCAACCGCTGTTAGGATTCAGTTCCAATCACCGTGTGTGGTGGTGTCCGGTCGTCGACATCAGCAGCAGCAGTTCTTTCGGCGTGTAGCGTTGAACATTGTTCTCCTCCAGTACGCAACGAAAGGCTTCCTGTAAGCAGTGAGCTGCAGTCCACATGCGCTTCCATAGAAGGAGGAAGAAGCCGCACCGCTATTGATCGGAATCAGTACCTCATTCCAAATAACATACAGCTAACCACCCAAGTAACAATTTTGGTTTTATGAGGGTTCTGTAGACCATGATTTAGACTTGTAGAATGCTATAAAACCGAGATAAAACCAGGAATGATACTTGGGCAGCCTCATCTGTGTTTAACACCATCACGAGAAAACGGTCCTTTTCAGGGCCACCATAAATTTGTAAAAGAGTATTTTTTGAACATTTGTCAAGGTCATCAATCGGATGTCAGTTCCCATATCAAGATAGAGATGGAATTAGGGCGTAACAGCTTTTGTAAACAATGACTTATTTCGTTGATGTCTTGAAAGTCAAGGCTCACCTACGGAAATCAACATCACCATCAGGTAGGGTAAGACTTCCCTACCCGACGGTAATGTTGGTTTACGTGGGCTGCCTTGAATTCCTAAAAATCATCGAGAGAAGTCATTGTTTACAAAAGCTGTTACGCCTAATTCCAGCTCTTTTAAGATATGTTTAAATCTAACATACCATGTTCTTGAAGGCAACATTGGGGGTGTGATTTCAAAAACCAAAGTCGGTCGCGGCATGCAAGTGGTCTGATTTTGATCCAGAGATGATGGATTTCAATTCTTAACACGCCAATCGATAGGAATTTTATTCTACGAATCTGTTAAAATTAATATTTTATCATTTTGCAAAATGCCACTATTGAAAATTGCACGAATACTGTTGCTATGATAGTTAAAATTATCACCGATTGCCTGTGAAAATCGATTTCCCTAACACAGATTTCAAAGTTGAATTCCATTCGGTCTCACCAAACGGTGAACATTTTCCAAGTAAATATCACTTGAAGTTAATAGGAAATCTTCAGGAGGATATATGTCATTTCTGTGGTATAGAAAAGGAAGACTCTGCCTACCTGCTATGCTCTTGTAAAGCAATCTTCAATAAAAGGCGTATTTTTCTGGATAAGGAGCTGGCATAACCCTTTGATATTTGGAATGCAGGTCCCAGTCAAGTAGTACATTTCATTCGAAATTTAATACCACGCTGCGAAAACACTTTTGGTCAGTCAATGTCGGTTGCTTAACAAAATAGTGATACGAAATACTGATAAAGCAATATAAAAACGGGGAATATATAACAATAGATCAAAGTGATAGTCGCAAATATGAATATACTCAACTCAGAAAAAAATCAATGAAAACCATTTTATTCCTTTGGTTTGTTTTTTCCGTCGATCTTGTTTTTCGTGCTGAGCACCAATGCTACTGACGTGCCAGGAAGGCAGCTCCCACACCTGGACCCTACCTATCGACCCATCAGCTCATGAACCGGGGACCAACGGCTTTACTTCCCATCCGAAGGAAGGCGTGATCAGAGATGTTATGCCTCAGAACATCCCGGCGGCGCCGACTGGGATTGAACCCAGGCCTGCTGGGATGAGAGGTAATCACGCTTACCACTACACCACCGGCGCCGTTAATGTAAACCATTTTAGTTTATTATTTTTCTAAATAATATTATTTAGAAGTAAGACGTAAAATATAATTATCAATGTAACAAAATGATATACTCTTGATTGACAACAAGTTATAAAGTTTCCTTGAAACATAAACAAGTTCAGAGTGATGCTGCAGAAATTAATTGCGGAAAGTCACACCTCAGACAGACGAAAGATTCAATATTAGTATTGAATCTGCGCTGTTGAGGATCAAGAAAAAATGATTTTAATCGTTGCGTAGTTAACGCAACATACATTTTAGCATGGTCATTTAGTATAGTTCAGAATAATCAAACATATTTATTATGTAGCAAAGTAGGGCCATTATGTTTTTTCCTTGATTTATTTTCCGTCGATTTTGTTTTCCATGCTGAGCACCAATGCTACCGACGCCAGGTAGTCAGCTCCCACACCTGGACCCTACCTATCGACCCATCAAACGCATGAACTAGCGAGCAAGGGCTTTACTTCCCTTCCGAAGGAAGGCGTGATCAGAGATGTTATGCCCCAGAACATCTCCGAGGCACCGACTGGGATTGAACGCAGGCCTGTTTACGGTATTCCGTTTGCAATAAAGTCGATTTACGCGAAATTTTGTTAAAATATACATGCATTATAGTGTAAATTTACACCAAATCTAGCGTAACTGAACACTGTTACATCAAAGTTTTATTAAAATAAGTAGAAATCCCACAGTTTTATTATTCTTGTAGCCTGATTCCTTGTTCACTGTCCTGTATGTCAATCCATTCAAACGCCATTAAACCCATCACTAAGCACCTTGCGTCTCCATATATATGCTGGACTGTTCATGGCTGCATGAGAAACGTTTCTGTTAAAAGTCCTCATCTAAAGTTTTGAACCAATTCCATGAGTGTTGTAAGAGAATATGACCCCAAACTTGCTTTGCCTAACTGAACTTTTAAACTTCAAATCCACGCTATTTCAATTGTCTCCGATCAGAGCCAAACATTTCAAACATTCCTCTTTACCCATCATCTTACGACAGCATGCAACAATAACATCGCGCGAGGGCAAGTGTTGGTAAAAGTAGATGAAAATAAAAACCTCCTCCTACGTGACAGGAATACTCAAAATCAATTTCCCTTCGGACAGTATAGTGACAATTTGTCTGTAACTTACAGTTTCGGAAGACACTTGTTCGGGTTTTTGTTTCTACTACTACCTCCCCACAGAAATTGTAGCATATCGTATCAACTAAAACCGCAGCGTAGCGGCCGACGAAGACGATCCAACAATGACGGAGGCGCCAAATTTACCCTCCATGTTCGACGACGCCTGCAACCAGCAGCAGCAGCAGTAACAGTGCGTAGGTATGTTGCTACATCCGAATCGGACGCTAACGAACTTTTCCGAATCTGTCTCCGGCAAATCACTGCCCCATTGCCGAATCCTTCCCCCTTGGTTCAACACCGGAAGGTCGTATATAAACTCAAGTGATTAATTTTTCCACCATCAGAGCATCAATTCCGTTCCCCGTGAGCACATCGAGCGTGTGAGCTGAGCAAGTTTAGAATTTATAGATTAGCAGACTTTGTGCGTGTCGTCGAGATGGCATTCAAATATGTGGTGTTGGCTGTCGCCCTTGTTGGGCTGGTCGGAGCTAATCCAGCGAATAAACCTGCCTTCTGGAAGGGAACCCCCATGGATGGGATGGTCGAGGAGATGAGATCCATGTGCAGCTCGGATAACGACTCCGGGGCTTGCCTGAAGTACAAGATCATGTACTTCTTGGATACCGTGTTCAAAAAGGATAACTTCCAGGTAGGTTGATCAATGGTTTTGAAAAATCAAATGCTTAATTGGTGATCTTCGTTTCAGCTCACTGATGACGTCGAGGTTCACGGAAACGGATACGCTGGAAATGGAGCACGCAGCAGCAATGGAATCATCGACAACGTCGAAGAGTACCTGAAAAGCCACGATGTTACCTTCAAGCTGCCAGTGGCTGATGCTAAGGTCACCGTCTCGCCACGCAACCTGGACAACGAAGAACTGAGCCTGACTGTCAGCTTCCCAAAAACCTCGGGACGTAGCGCCGTTGAAGCTCGCAAGTCCAAGCTGAAGAAGATCGTCATTCCAATCATGGTGTTCATTCTGCTGAAGGCCATGACTCTGATCCCAATGGCTCTCGGAATCCTCGGACTGAAGGCCTGGAACTCCCTGCAGCTGTCCTTCTTCTCCTTCATCGTGTCCGTTGGTCTGGCCATCTTCCAGCTGTGCAAGAAGGTACGTGTTTTGTCCTTGTAAAATTTAATCAACTGGATTTTAATTGAGATTTCCCTAATCTAGCTTGCCGTTGACAACCATCACCCACACATTGCCGCTCACGGTCCATGGGATGCTGGCCGATCGTTTGCCGCTGCTCCAATTGAACCTGAGTACGTCGGACAGGATCTGGCCTACAATGCCTATGCCTAAAGCAGGATGCAGGAGAGCCGAAACAAAAGACTCGAATCATTGCTCGGAGCGAGCAAATCTAGTGACACCAAAAGTGAATTTTTCACTCTACTTGGATAATGCGTGTAGTATCGAATTAATTTATTTATTTATTTGCGCCCCTCTCAAACTAAGATGCTTTATTGATACGAACTGTTAAAGTGCAATAAAAATCGAACGAATGTAAAGTGATTTTGAAACGTTGTTACTAAATCTTTTATTGAAATGCTAAGTTTCCGATAAATTTTAAATTATTACCATCGTCAGACCACCACATTTGAATGCGATGCGCTGTTGGGGAACATGGAACACTTCCGGGAAACAGTGACTTGTTGCCAATTTTAATTAAATTCCAACACATTTTCGCGGATTTATGTAGAAGCATAGCTAGTTAATTCACAGATCCTCAGAATAGAAGTAGAAAACGAATTTTAAATAGTTGAAGATGCTAATTTCAAATAGGAAGGTACAAATCGGTTTTATCATCTCTCTTTACCAAACTCCCCCTTTGGAGAGAGATCCAAAGGGGGAGTTTGGTAAAGAGAGATGATAAAACCGATTTGTACCTTCCTAAAAGTTGTCCTAGCTCGCTGTCTACTCTCTATATGCAATTTTCACACTGCCGTACTCTAAAACGGAACTATCAATTCTATCTTCTATACAATTCTATAATTCTCATCTATCGTATAAAAATTACCACTTTGGTCTGTTATTTGAAATTAGCATCTTCAACTATGTAAATCGTTGACACGTTGACTTCACGCAGAAGTAATACTAAAACATATAGTCGAAGAATTTTAAATGTCAAACATTAAATTTTTCCCCGGGGCGCATTTTACCCCAGAAGCCCTTACCTCAACAATGAGCAGTCCCACGTCATATGACGAATCGATCAGGCTCGACCTTCTCCGCTTGCATGATAATTGTATATTATGGGCAATCATTCACATTTGTGCTAACATTCAGCCATTTTGAATCTTGCATTTATTTTCAAAATGGCGTATTGGACATTTTTCAATAAACCGAAAACGTCTCTTTTAATTGTCTTGAAGGCGCAAACGGGCGGCTCCAAACGAAGTATACGGTTTAACAGGAAAAACGGAGAAAAGTTTATTTAAACGTCTGTACTACACGAAGTGCGATTGTGGAATGAACAGTTATTAATTTTCACAAACAGGTAACGGGTCGTTGCCAGGGAGAGCTTCCCAACAACGTAACAAGGGAAAGCGATGGCTGATTGCCTACTACGCCAACACCCCTTCTCAATCGGCCATTCCAAGGCCTTGGCACAGCTTCTCCATGCGCACCGCGTCCACCTGTTTGGTGAACAAATCCGCCAGTTGCTTCTCGGTACTGATATACTTCACCGCTACACGTCCATTCGCAATGTGGTCCCGGAGGAAGTGGTGCTTGATATCTATGTGCTTGCTTCTCTTGCTTTCACAATTCTTCGCCATACCTATCGCTCCTTGATTGTCCTCAAATATTACGACCGGATCCGCAGGCCGCTTCAATTGAAGATCTTCCATCACTCCGGACAACCAGATCGCTTCCGAAACAGCAGAACTCAGCGACACATACTCCGCTTCACTCGAAGATGTAGCAACGGTAACCTGCTTTTTGCTGGACCACGATATAGGATTACCGAATATCGTGAACAGGTAGCCGCTGACTGACTTCCTGTCTTCCGCATCCGATGCCCAGTCGGCGTCAGCATATCCGACCAACGCTTCCGCTGATTCGTCGCGTACAAACTTCAGGTGCTTCGTTTTCGTCCCTTTCAAATACCGTACTATACGCTTGAGGCATTTCCAATGGTTAACTGTTGGGTTCTGTTGGTAACGGCCCAGGAATCCGACGGGGAAACACAAATCAGGCCTGGTGCACAGCATTACGTACATAATTGTGCCCAGCAGATCACGGTACGGTTCTTGGGTTGACTCACCATCGCGGGAAACAACCAGGTTCTTCTCCATAGGCGTCTTGGTCGGGTTACAATCCGTCATCTTAAAGCGTATCAATATTTTTTCGATATTCGTTTCTTGAGAGGAATTCGTCGCACGGTCGTATTCTAGTTTCATACCTAGGAAACGACTGATCTCACCGCAGTCCGTCATCTTTATCGTCGAACTCAGGGCTTTCTTCAGATTCACAATCGTTTCAATCTTCCTCCCAGAGATGAGCAAATCGTCCACATATATATATATATTTTTATTAAATTTCGTCTCCTGGTACCACCCGCACGTAGAGACAGTAGTCGTGCAGCGATCAACGAAATCCCAAACTCAGCAACCGATCGTTGAACTTTTCGTTCCAGCACCTTGGGGATTGCTTGAGGCCGTACAGGGACTTGAGTAAGCGGCACACTGCATTAGGGGATGCTGCAGCATCGTCGGGAACCGCCATGTACAATTCCTCTTTCAGGTCGCCGTGCAAAAACGCCGTCTTGACGTCCATTTGATGGAAGTGGAAACAATGTTGCACTCCGACCGCAAAAACCGTCCTGCTGGTGGCCAGTTTTGCAACAGGAGCGAATGTCTCCTCGTAATCGACTCCAGCCTTCTGCAGGAATCCTTTCACCACCTCGCCTTATGTTTGACCGCATTGCCGGCCGAATCGTCCTTCAGCCGAAAAACCCATTTCGATTTCAAAGGCTTCCCTCCCTTCGGACAGCTCGTAAGACGCCAGACCTTGTTCTCCTCCATGAAACGTAACTCATCTCGTACCGCAGTCATCCACATGGCTCGGTCAGCACGCTGGGGCAGTTCATCAAACGATTCGGGTATATCTGCGGAAATCAATTCGCCAGAAATAGCTCTATAACCGATAAAGTAATCAAATAACTTACCGGGGAGCCTGCGCTCCCGTTCGCTATGCCTCGACGACAATTCACTAGGAATTTCGCGTCTTTCTGTGGGCGAAGAAAGCGCATTTTCTGGTTCTTCAAGATCATCGTCGGGTTCTGCTTCAATTCGATTGATTTCAGGTTCATCATTGGCTTCACGAATTTCATCTGTGGGGACCGGCTGGCAACGTTCCCCCTCTTGCTCGAACGGGTAAAGGACGGTCAATGTGACATCGTCTTTTTGCTGCATCACAGCGTACGGGAAGGACGACTCATCAAACTTGACGTCTCGAGCAATCGTAAGCTTTCGAGCCACCGGGTCCCACACGCGGTAGCCGTTCGGAGCGTACCCAACCATGACCATCTCTTTGCTCTTCGCATCCAACTTACGCCTTTGCTGCTTCGGAATCCACACGAAACTCTTGCAGCCAAACACACGAAGTTTGTCCAGATCCGGTCTGATACCGAACCACATCTCAGCCGGGGTAACACCAGAGGGCAACGCACTTGTTGGGCTTCGGTTCATCAAGTAAACGCAGGCGAGGGCTGCTTCGGCACATTGGATTGGATGAGCACGAACCTCTCCGCTACACCATTCTGCTGGGGCGTATACGCAACCGTTGTCTCTAGCTGTATCCCTTTTCTCTTGTAGAACTGCATCTGATTTGTGGAACAATACTCTCGTCCCTGGTCCACCGGCATTCTTGAAATGGACTTTCCCGGAATAGCCGTGACCTTTGCTTCGAATTCCTGAAATTTCTCGAATACCTCTGATTTGCGCTTCAGCAAACATATCATCGAGAAATGAGTATGGTCATCGATGAAACTGACTATGTAACGAGAACCATCCCATGCCAGCGGATCGATCGGTCCACAAACATCAGAATGACTGGCCCTAGCTCGCGTTCCGTTGAACGGTTCTCGGCATTGCTTGGCTTGCACGCAGCCGTCGCAGAAATCAATTTTGGTTGTTTTTTCATTCATACCTTTCAGCATTCCTTTCCGGGCCATGGTCTTCAATCCGCGTTGGCCGATATGCCCCAGTCGACGATGCCACAGGTTTCCAATCGATACTTCGCAGTGATTCGCTTCAACTTCCTCCAACGACAGCTCAAGCTCGTACAGGTTGCTTCGAAGGTGTCCAGTGGCCAGTAACTTACCACTTTTCTTCAGAACTGCTACGTTTCCAGAGAACAAGACATCGATCCCAGGGTTGCTGGTTACGTTGATTTCGCCAATCTGTTCAGCAAGCATAGCTTCTCCTTCCTTGGCGACCTTGATCTCCACGCGACTGGTCATCTTCTTCAGGGCAGCAAAAAAGAGGTTTGTCGCCAACCAGGTGGTCACTGCACCCGGAATCAAGCTTGAAAAGGATTCGTCCAGGCCGCTTTTCCGCAATGTTTGCATCGGCCATGAAACTGATGGCATCCTTCTTCGCTGAATTGGCTTCACGCTGGTGACAATCCTTTTTCATGTGGTCGAGACACCCGCATTTGTTGCACTTACCTAGGAATTTCTGGGATTTCTTTTGGGATCTTGAGTCACCCGAGAACGCTGCCGACTTGTCTTCAACTGAATCGCCCTGCCGGTCGAATCGCTTCCTTTCTTCAGCCAATAGACGTTCTCCAGGGCCGTGACTAGGGGATCGAAAGAGTCTGCAAGCGTCAAGAAAAGTTGCGGCACCAGATCACTTTCCGTCAGAGTTGCTCCGGCCGTCTTCAATTTTCTCACGAGCTCGTCGAATTCAAGTAGATGCGTCCGCATGTCCCCTTCCTTCATCCGCAAACGAGCCAACTGCTTCCGTACTAACGTTTGGCTCGCGACAGACTTCTTCGCATAAGCCGCCTCCAGACTGACCCACATCTCCTTCGTGGTCACCTTCTCTAGACCGACAGGCAACCCACCAGCAACGCCTTGGAGATCCGGTCCGTTTCTTCAAACTTCTTCTTTGCAGCTTGGAGCCACCTCGGTCAGCACATCCGCGACACCTTTAGCTTCCATGAACAGGCGCACTCGATAACTCCAGTTTTGGAAGTCAGCTCCGCTTCCACGCAGCAACGGGATGTTACACGAAACGTCCTTCGCGGTGGTGCCCATAACCTTTTGAAGGGACAAACGGGAGACTCCACAATTGCACTTCGTGTAGTACAGACGTTTAAATAAACGTTTTTCCTGTTAAACCGTATACTTCGTTTGGAGTCTCCCGTTTGTCCCTTCAAGAAATTGAAATGACGCCTGAGACAAAATTGTAGAGAAAAATTAAATCTTTCTCGATAAAGTATTCACGCTAAATGTTAAATAGTTATTTTGAGAAAAAAAAGTGATAAAAAATTAAAAAAAAACATTTTTAACACA